CGTGGCAGTTAGCGGTGCTATTTTGTACGATGACCTAAAAGTTAAAATCATTTATTTGAGATTTCATTCAGCACAATAACATCTCCATAAATAAACTGATTAAATAAACAAAAACATGACTTCAATGAAATGTTCGCTTTTAAAAATTAAGAAGAGGTACTACTTCGTTAAAGTTTGTTTTTCGTTTATTTGAAAATTTATTTCACCATTTTTTATTAAAAATTTTTCTATATTATAATTTAAATTTACTTTAGTGATTTATTTAATAAAAAGTTAGAATGGAATATCCTATTTCTACCAAAAAAGAATTATGAAAATTGTCATGCAACACAAACAAAATAAGTTTTAAATGTAACAATACTTCTTGCAGACAAGCTTTTATATGCATACTAAATAAATTGTACTATTATGAACCATTAAGAAGTTCCTTCATGAGGAGACACTCCTGTCTGTGACATCAGGTTAAATCTGTCAAAAAACTGCATTGTCATACAAACTAAAAGTGCACGCAAAATTTTAGCTCAATCGGATACCAACATTGAAAAATGGTTGGCAAATTTTGACGGACATAATATTTTTACTTACGTACGAACAGTGCAAGTTAAATAAAAGCAAAAACATACGTGGTCGAATTGTGTGTTTTTTTTTTTTGGAAGTCTGTTTAAAATAAATCATGGCTAAAAACTATGTATGGCATCGCCAACATGAAATTCGTTCTGGATTTCATTTAAATATATTCAGCAGACTATACGAGATCGAAAAACAAATACCTAACGTTAAAACATAATAATAATAATGTATTTGTTGACAGTAGCCTAATGTATTCGTCCCTCAATGATATCAATTGTGTTACCAATGGGATCAACATATACGTTACCTACTCAAAGGTAAAAAAATTGAGGTAACAAAAGAGGTTATGGGATTCTTTACCGGCTAAAAATATTATTTTATTAGCTAGCGTTGTAAAAAATAGTGAAAACAAGAGTGAATGCACATAGTAATCATTAGAACAATTTTCTTTTTAATAAAGTATGTACTTACCGTTTAAAGTCCAGTAACAAGTTTGAGTTTAATTGGTACCCACAACCACAACACTCGTGCACGAATTGTTTGACACAGAATACAATCATGTCAGCCTACCAATTTTAGATGAAAGGACTTAGACACGGAGAAAAATGTTTACACAGCATTAAAAACATCCAAAAAAGTAGTAATTTTTACAAAATATGTGAAATATCATGGTAACAATGTTGATAATCAAAATTGAGTTAATTTTGGGACAACAAATAAATTGAAAACATTAATAAATTATATAAGTAAACACATGTTCAAAGGTATCATTGCGTAAATGTGGCGTAAATAAATAGTGATGTGATTAATCAAAATGGAAAGATGTACTCCTAAAATTTTATTTTTTGGTAAAATGAATTTTCAAATCATGTAATAAGGGATAGGACAATCTACAATCTAGGTAAACTCTGATTTTTCATTCCGTAGAATTCTGACAGCTATCATTTTTTGACATGTCAGAGATTACAAACCTTTTTGGCCGGGCACATTTTTCAATTTCAATACGTGTCTGAACATCTGAGTCTATACATACATTTTATTTGTTAGTAAATGTATCCATTTTATTAAGTGCGGTACTCTACATGGTTTTACGGCGAGTGATAATTACGTCCCTTTTCATTACAAACAGTAAAAAATGCACAAGTAAAAATAACATATTTTTATTAAAATCTTTAGTCATCATTAATACTTATATCACTATCTTCATCATCGTCATCATCGCTGACATGAATTATTAAAGAGTCTGCGACTGTGTCAATGAAATCGTCGAGAGTGCACATCTTATCTTCTTCTTTGATTGTATGGCTGATACATTCTTGCCATTTATCAGGAGTAATACTACTTATACTTTCCAGTAATAGTTTTTTAACTTCCGCCATTTTAAAACTTCTGTTGTGTCTTGCGACATGCCCCTTCACTTGAGCCCACACCAATTCAATAGGGTTGAGCTCACAATGATATGGGGGCAGTCTAAGCACAGTAATGCCTTGTGCTGTGGCCATCTCGTCTACAATACACTGTTGATATTTGTATTTCTCCTGACCCACAATTTCCAATAAATTAACTTTTAGCATTTTTTCTTCAAAATTTAAATTTTTTGAAGTCAACCACGCTTGGATATCGCCTTTTCTCCATGCACTCGTTGGTACTTTTTCGACCTTCCTCGAATGATAGGGAGCATTATCCAACACTACTACCGAGTTTGGTTTTAATTTTGGAAGTATTTTTGTGAACCACTCCTCAAATACTTCCCCAGTCATCTCCTTGTGGTAATCTGCCAAGCCTTTTTTTGCCTCAAAAACTAATAAACCATCTTCCAAAAATCCTTCTTCGCTCCCTATATGGCTAACTATAAGTCGCCCCCCCTTTGCCTGTTGGTGCCTTAAGCCCTGTTGTCAAGCCATCGAGGAAAGCTTGTCGTGAAGATTGAATGTTGGTATCACACCACACTTTATTGACGGTATGTCCTGAAAATAAAAATATATTTAATATTTCACTTATACATGAGGACAGTTATATATGCATATAAATTGAAAAATATTACCTGTAAACATGGATTTCTTTATTTATTTATTCATTTTGGTAACAAAAATTTATTAACAAAGTTAATTTAAGTATTACATAAGTACAGAATTCGATTTCCGACTAATACTTTGAAGAAAAGATAGGTTATAAAAAGTTAATTACCACATAATTCAATACTTGCCTTCGTTTACCCACGTTTCATCCTGGTAATATATAAGCCTGCCTTCTCTTCTATATTGTTTAATTTGGTGCAAGTATTTTTGACGCCATAGTACTATCTCCTTGCGATCTGTTAGCGCACTTCGACGTTTGCGACTTGTGTATTTAAAATTTAAATGCTTCAATACTTTTCTTAATGTTGATTTCGACATAACAGGCATGTCTGGATCACCAGTTATCTCTTGGTGAATCTGAAATAAGCATTTACATTACAGTTAAAATGTAGACAGGCAACACAGGTTAAAGTATAGTTTTAAAACAATGGGGGATGTCAGCAACGAGGTGTTAAAGAATTAGCAATAACTTTACCTTTTCAATAGTCGGAATCTCGTTCCTGTAGAAAAACGCGTGAACCTTTCGTCGAGTTGCGGCGAAAGTGAATTCGTCAAATTTTTGTATGAAAGATAGTTGAGGTCCACTCTTTTTCGGCTTTTGAAATTCTTTTGTGTCTTTATATTCTTTGGTAATTTTATAGACACTTGACAGACCCACGCCAGTCATCTCAGAAGTCTTTTTTAGCACATTCCGTTGCACTCCAATCAGTTGTTTGCGGCCAATTTTCTATATTATATTTGTAAATATTTAGAATTATGGTCTTTTCGTTGGGCGTAAAAGCACCACGAGGACGCTTCTTTCTGGGAGAAAGAAAGTCTAAGCCTTGTGCTCTGTCAGATGGGGCTGCTTCCCGGGAAGGGCCAGGTTGTGGCTCCATAACGTTTATAAAAATCAACAAACGATCACAAAACGAAAGGTCAACAAGAAAAAACTTAACAGAATAACAGAAACTTAACAAATATAACAAGATAATAACAACAAATAGCAGCAAACACCGAGAACACATGCGCATTCGAGCATTCAAAGAAGTCGAATGAAAATCAATCAATGTGACAGACGCGACGTGACAGCTAACATTTTTTTAAAAGGTTTTTTAAACCTGGAATTAGTAGACAGTGATGCCAGCTAAAGAATAAAATATTAAGTAATTAAAGTTAATTAGATATATTGTTCGTGATATTGAAATATTTGTTATTTTTGTATTAGGTGACTTGTATAAGTAAATATTTAGATTTACCTTTTTGTAGGTGAAACATAAAAAATACGTAGCATTTTATTATTTATTGCCCTCAAATGGTTCAAATTTGTCTCTTTTTCGGTGGAGAACTTTTTTAGTAGCAACACTTACGAAATGTCAGAATTCTACGGAATGAAAAATCAGAGTTTAGGGTTGAAGTGCTAATAGTTGACCAGTTAAGCGCTTTTTTATTACCATGAGCTGTACAGCTGACTTGGTTTATTACTTACTTCAAATTTAAATATATTAAATGATTGTGTAACCTTTAGTGTGTTTATAGATATAAAGATTATTTTTTTACTAAAAGCATTTATCATAATATCAAGTCATAAAATAATATATATATATGTATATATATATATATATATATATATATATATATATATATATATATATATATATATATATGCGCCACTAGTTGACCAGCAAACTCCAATGCCTGACCGCCAATGTACTATTAGTTGACCATACAGAGACATGTAAGTAAAACGAAATTTACAAAGTAAATAATGTTTAATAGTTAAAATTTTAATGAATAAAAGCTTTGAAAAGAAGATCAACATAATCTAACATATTTTAAACAGTAAACGGTAGATATTTGTCCATTTCCTTTACTACATAAAAACCTCTTTTATTAGAGAGCGCATTTATTACTTCCACCACATCTTTTTGATGGTACCAGATTTTATCAGGCTTCTCTGGCCATTTAAACGTATTTCCCATGGAAAGTCATAGTGCTTACTTCGAATAAATCTTTTTCAACATTTTCAATAAGCCCTGGAAAATATTCTCCCTCATATGTAATAATTACATGATTTCCTTTACATATTCCTTTTTTCTTAGTAAATAAAATACTTAAGATTTTGAATTCAGAATTCGATTTGGGTTCCTCTATTCGTTTGTTTTCATTTTCTTTATTTATTATTATATCAGTTGTGTTACCGTCTGACTCACTATCACTCCGTATAATGAGTCTGTTTTGTTTCTTTTTTTAATCTTATGCCTTGGACTTTACATTTTTTTCTCTCTACTGAGTCACTGGAGAGTGAACGTATTGGTTTATCTTTGCTTGTTTTCTTCTCATCTCGATTTCTTTTTCTGTTTTCTATATCTTCTAACTTCTTTTGCTTTTCTTCTTCTTTTTTTCAAAGTAATCAATGAAATATTTTGATGTCACCGCAAGTGGCAGGCTTTCCTTTGCTTTTTTCTTTATTGGAGAGTCTGATGGCCACAAAATATGGTTACCAAATGCAGGGCTTATTAGCTTTTGTTTTTGGAACATAAGCTGGACTAATTTATTTCTAGAAGTGGAAATTGTGTTGCTACCTTGTTCATTACTAGCAATCTCTGCCTCTGGAGCAGTACATGAACGCCGAATTACTGGAGCACCTGGCGTTGTTTGAAAGAGTGACGGAGTCATATCGACAGGTTTGCCATCTAAAACGTCCACAGGTGCCGCATTATTAGACCAATCGCAAGCTTCTAGGGTGGGTGTTGAAATTGATGCTTCCTGGGCTGATTGAACTAATTTGTTTTCAGTAATAGATACCGGATTGCTGCCTTGATCAGTCACAATCATATCCATCTCTGGAGACGCAGTAGATGTGCGTCTATTTTGAGCGCTTATCGATGGTTGTAAGAGTGATGGAGACATATAGTAGGTAACTCATATTCTGTGTTCACAGGCGCAGCAGTCGTAGAACAGCCACTACCTTCTCCAATGGATGCTTCACAAAGAAAATAGGAGCAGAGGTTGAAGAAATACAATGTTGGCGCAATTTTTTCCACACCTATAATAGTTCCTTAGCGGATTCCTCACCTTCCCATTCGTCATTTACTTGTCTGAATTGTTCTGCTCGACCTTTCCTCATAAAAGATTCCAGCAACAGAATTGTTTCCACTCCTGTCTCTACAAGTTTTGGTGAAACTTTACGCACTTCATGGTCCATGCATTTGGTATAATCTACCGCTGAAGGGTCAAAAGGGTAGATTCCACATCTTTTAAAACCATTAGAAATTATTTCAGGTGTAACTCTATCTTGAAATACCTTTAAAAGGAGAGGCGCAAAGCCAGCTCTAGTAATGTGTCTATTACCGCTATTTCTTTTGTATTCATAAACGATATTTTGCCAGCCACTTTTCAGGCACTTGAAAAGTGATACATCAGCGGGCTGTAATATGTGTGTTGAATTTGGGAATAATGCATACACGAGAATTTGATTATTTGCGCAGTATTCTGCCACTTGCAAAGTCAAATGGGATCGATGCCCATCTACTAAAAGTAAAACAGGTTTCATAATCATATTGTTCTTTAGCCACGGATCAAATATATTTAATATATATTCAAAATACAGAGGTGCTGTCATCCATCCTTTATTAGACTTTCCTATAGCCCAATCTGCTGGAACGTTATTAGCTATATCCCTGGATATACGCTTCAAAGGATATACAACCATATGTGCAACTACTTGCCCAGCTGCATTCAAACAGGCCATCACAGTAAGTTGCTCCTTTTCTTTTCCCGATTTAACTTCAAAAAAAATTTTCATTCCAACTGGTCCTAAAACTCTACCAAATTCAGGACAAGTCTGAAACCCTGACTCATCAGCGTTGTATAACCTTGTAGGATCTTCGAGTATTTCGAGGGCATTTTCGCTTGAATCGAACCATCCTCTTAAGTCAGATTCTGTTACATCGGAACGTGATGTTGATATGCCTTCGGCACATCTTTCTTTAATTTGCGGGTGACGTTTCATAAATAAATCAACCCATTTTCTACCTGGACAGTTGTGTTTAAACGGCGTTTTGCGATTATCCTCTTAAATTATTTTTTTTACCGTATCCACTAATGTTTGGCGTTTTAATGGTATTCCCTTTTTAGCGTTTGCTATAATATAAGCAACTAGTAAATTTTCTTCAGCCTGAGTTAAGTAAGTGTCACGGCCCATCTTTCGATTTTCAGGTACCTTTCCCTTTAATTTATTTATTAGAGTAATATGTGGGACGCCATAGTGTCTAGCAGCTTCTCGTATTTTAAATGTACCGTCACGCACTGCTTTTATTGCAGATTGCATAGCAGCATCTGGATAGCACAATATATTCGCATTTTTCTTTCCTTTCTTTACTGCAATAGAAAACAGAAAAAATGCACACTTTAACACCAATTTTTAACTGGACAGGCATTAGAAAACCTCGTTCCTAAGGCTGACCACAGCAAACAGCACAAAACATAACACTGGTCAACTATTGGACAATCACATCGTACAGCAATCATCTTTAGGTTATATTTGACGAATCAACAAAATAAATGCGTTAAATAAAAAAAAACTTTACATTCTTGAATATATCTTTTAGCCAATACTTGACCACCGTGGACAGCTTTAGGAGCAGATTAAAATTTCGGAGCCAAAGGATAACCACCCCCACGAGGAACCATTATCCACATAAAACAACAGAAATATCACTTTTGGCACTTAAATAAACTATTATCCTTAATCCATATGACATTCAACCAAAAAATATACAATAAAACAACTAGATTAAATAAGATTTACCAAGAAACCCATAATAAACATCCTTAGTGAATCAGACGCGTACTACCGGGTGCCATCTTAACTTGCAAAGAACTCTGATTGGTCAACCAATATCGAGCTGACTCGTATACCACGTGACTATAATAATGATGTCAATATGCAAAAAATAAAACTGCTATTAAATCCCACCAATTTACGTTAAAATTGGTTTTTATTCGTGTTTTGGTCAACTATTGGTGCATGGTCAGCTAATAGTACATTGACCCTATACAAAAAAATAAACAGGTTTCAGAAAATAAATATTTTATTATTTTTAAACGCTTCTGGTAGTATTTTATTTGTGATTAATTATATCTATAGATATGACTTTAAAAGATTTAAAAAAATCAGATAAATATGGTGTCTTATATAGTCACAAAATAAACACGAACTTAAAGGACATCTAAATTTAAAGCGGTACAATTTTGGTGAGAACTGCTCACCTATACCTATTATTGCTAATAATAGTACTTCTGCGACGACTTATAACAACAATCAAAACGAAGGCGTAGTGATTATGTTCGAAAGAATCTTAAAGTAAATGTAAAAGAAATTAAACTCGAACATGCGTCTTGTTTACAAATTGAAAATGTTAATAACATCATTCTCGGCATTGATTTAATTCTCGGCATATATCGCTCGCCCTCAAATAAAAATGCAACAAAATTTATTGATTCCCTTTATAATCACTTGGATACAGCAAGATCACAAAAAACATTGTAATATTAGGAGATATAAATATCAACCTCATACCGAGAAGTAATGAACCTACATATGAGTGCAACAATAGTTCTTATTATATAAACAAGCTGGCTACACTTGGGATCTTACCCGGACATACTCTTCCTACCAGACTATATATATACCTACCTGTCTTGATCATTGTATGTTAAAAATTGATAAAAGAACAATTTCAGCTTTTATAGCCATTAGCCATACTTAACACCACAGTTACAGACCATAGTACTGTCTTTTTATGTCTATCAAACCTAAAACAAAATGAAAATCATTGCAATAAAATAAAATATAATATTGATAAAGCTGTAGAAAATTTATTATATAAAAATCTAAATTATTTATTATACTGTGATGATCCTAAATTCGTTGCAAAACAATTGATAATGAAACTTAGCGAGTCCTTGGAGGAAAGCAGATCAGTGGATAGTTTGTCCAATAATCGCAAAAAAGCTATTAAGCCATGGATTACTCCTGGTTTATTGCGTTTTATCAAAAATAGAAATAAAATGCAATTAAATCTTCGTAAAGACCCCAACAACGAAATTTTGAAAATAACTTTTAAAAGATATGTTAACTATTGCAACAATTTACTTAAAAAAACTAAAACATAAATATGAAAGAGAACAATTTGCTCGAAATACTAAAAACGCAAAATCGCTTTGGAATACTATAAAAAAAATTACTCATTGAAAATCAAATAAAACGCCTAATACTGAATTACTCAATGTTCTATAAATTCAGTTAATCATGTCAATGATTTCTTCGCTAGTGTGGGAAAAAACCTGGCTAACTCTATTCCCTTTGACAGTCCACCTTCTAATGCTAACAGCTACCTTAATTGTCAAAGTTCATCATTTGTCCTTTTGGAAGCTGACCACCAGGAAGTTTCTAGTGTACTTTTAGATCTCAAATAGGAAAGTGCTCCCGGTTGGGACAACATCTCAACAAAGTTCCTCAAGCTGTCCAGAGATTTTGTGATGCTTATCATTTGTCACCTGACAAATCTCTGCTTCAGGGCAGGAGTTTTTCAGTCACCTCTTAAACAATCAATTGTGACGCCGGTTTTTAACATTTTTAACATTTTGTTGAATAATGTCTATTTATATTTATGATATTACCAACACACAGTAAGAAATGTTTTAAGCTGGTTGTATTACAAAAAAAACAAAATATAATGTAGTTAATTATTGTAAATCATAATTTATTTAAGTATTCTATAAACAGTAGTAGGTACAGAAACAGAAACCTTTTATTCAATTTAGATTATAAATAATACTTATTGAAAGTCACTTTTTTAATTTACCACTGGTTCGGAAAAAACCTCTGACTTGAAGAGAACCAGCAAAATATCCAGTGGGTCTTTTAAAAAAAAGCCAGCTTACAATCATGCATGTCATAATTTACAACACAGAACAAATTAGAAATAGCTTGGTAGCGATCACCTTACCCACGGGTTATCCATAAATTCTTTGATGATTGACTGATATAGGAGCGGTGTCAAGACTTTGTTTTAACCCATATAGGCCTACCGTACCCTATGTGGTACAGTTACTTTGTAAAAATATTTTGATGTACCCACAAATTATTAACTTTTTTTGGTTAGTTGTGGCAGATAACTCAGAGTATTAGTTTTATATCAACAATATAACATACACATTTTATGCGAGTTATTATCAGTTTATATTAAAATTGCTAGACAGAAACGGAAAAAAACAATTTACAATGTCTTCAAGAAGGTAAGTTTCATGTTATCTATAGTAAATCATATTATTTGTTGGTATTATTTTAAATACTAGGATACAATAGACGTAATAGCTACAAATAAGTTTCACTTGGGTCATTTTAGTAAGGTGTACACAGTGCTAGATTAGGTGTATCATATATGGTACAGTAGGTCTATGTATGAGCACAAAATACCTAAGTCAATTTACATATTATTATATTAGCTTTTTTATTTATCTTTTTGTGTTTTATTGTTTTAGGTCATTGACATTACATGAAATTGCTACAGTTCTTGAGGAAGATGATGATTTTAGCAACCAGAGACAAGATTTTGATATTTTTTTACTTCCACCTGACACCGCCAATGATTACCAAACTGACGAGGACTCGGGTGAAGAAGATAACGTCAGCATAAATAATTTGCCTGGAAGTTTGCTTCGAGCTCCAGCGGAGCTTGCTGCCTCAACCTCAATGGAAAAACCAGAAACTGAGGACCAAACCCCCTCCCGAATTTCAAGAACCTTTAAAAAAACGTGTCATGAATTACAATTGGCGAAAACGAGACTTGCAGCTAAGACCTATTGTTTGGAAACCCCTTTATCATACTCCTATTGAAAGAAGCCCGATAGAATGGTTTTCTTTATTATTTTCAGAAGAAGTATTTGAGATGCTTACTATTGAAACCAATAGATACTTAGCACGTAAGCTTCTCTCTGCTGACGTCAAGATTGAAGAGATGAAATGTTTGGTAGGGATTTTGTTAGTCAGTGGCTACTGCCAAGTGAGCAGAAGAAGAATGTACTGGGAAAATGCATCTGACTCAAGAAATAGTTTGATTGCTTCAGCCTTGTCTCGAGATAGATTTACACTAATTTACTCTAATATTCATGTTGCTGATAATCTAAATTTAGATACATCCGATAAATTTGCAAAAGTTCGTCCTTTATTAAAAGTTTTAACTATGAGGTTTCTTGAGCACTGTCCACATAAGGAGAATCATAGTGTTGATGAGGCTATGGTCCCATATTTTGGTCATCACGGCTGCAAACAGTTTATTAGAGGCAAGCCTATAAGATATGGATACAAATTATGGGTTGGTGCAACATCAGGAGGTTACATTGCATGGTTTGAACCATACCAAGGTGCTTCTACATTTACGAATGCCCAATATTCCCAGCTTGGTCTTGGTGCAAGTGTGGTTTTGTCTTATGCAGATCAACTAGCAACATTAGGCTATGGAAAAAACTACCATCTCTTCATAGATAACTTTTTTACCGGTTTGCCTTTGGTTCATGAACTTACTGAGAGGGGATTTCGTGTAACTGGTACTATCAGAGAAAATAGATCTGGAAAGTGCCCTCTATTAAGTAACAAAGAAGCAAAGACAAAAGAAAGAGGCTTTTATGATTATCGCATATCTGATGATATTATAATTTGCAAGTGGCATGACAATAGTATAGTGTCAGTATGCTCTAATGCAGTTGGTGTTGATCCTGTCCACAAAACTGAACGCTATTCTCAGCAACTAAAAAAGAAAATATCTGTTTCTCAACCTCATCTCATTCAACAATACAATAAAAATATGGGTGGAGTAGATTTATCAGATCAGAATATATCGTCATTGCGAACTAGCATTCGAGGAAAAAAGTGGTATATGCCTCTGATTCTCCATTGTATAGACATGTCTGTACAAAATGCATGGCTGCTGTACAGACATAATGGAG